GCAGATTTTGGAAACTTTTAATTAGCAAGTCGAGCTCCTGCTTTTTCGAAGGATCACTTTTCCCAAGAACACAATGTGTTTCCCAAGCAAGCTTTTTGCAAATGACAAGTTTTTGAAAAGTTCTCATAATTAGAGCGTTGCTAACAGTGAACTCAAAGCTAGTCGATTTATCAACAATTTTTATTCGTAAAGGCTTCGGTAATATTTGACGGTCATGTCCGATTGCGAAAAAAGTGATTGACATCTCATTAACAGATTTTCCGAAAATTCCATTTAATAGAACATAAGATCGAAGAGATTTGTTGACTTTGAGTAAATCGATGAGTAAAGTTGGTTGAAGATTCTCCAAGATCGACTTTTTAAGCTCAAATGGGAGACGGTTCAGCGGGAAAGCGGAATGATCAGTTGAGTTTTTCTGACCCATTTTGGACAAGATTAGCTTAAGAATATTTCAAGCAATGCAATGAGAATTTGAATTTGAACAAAGGCAAAAGATTTCGAGGCAAGAGTTGCAGAAAATTTTTTTGCAAAACGGTGTAGAAAGTTTATTAGGCAGCATCGAGAAAAATGGAAAAAGACATTCAGGCAAATGTTGTTAGAGAGATAAGAACCTTTCAGCGAGGGGTTTTCAATCAATTGATGGACACTTTTTTAGTCTTCTCTCGATGGTTTGTGCAAAGTGTAAAGAACTAAATTTCTACTGCAAGTATTCTGTTTTTTTACGCGATTTTTAGCTTGTTGTTATCCAATAATGAAGGTGTGAATTGTAAAGAACGATTTAAAAGAATTTATTTAAAAGTTCACATAGCATGAAGGAGTTTTTAGCACCTTATGCAGGGTGGCTGAAAAGTTGCGATATGTGGTGTGATGAAACAATTCTTTTTGATGGTAAATATTGAGAAATTTTTAAAACCATATTGATTTTCAGATTCTCCACACAATTTTACATTATAAATCAAAATTTCAGCTCACTAGCTCTATTCGGAAAAGTTTTACGCTAATTTCTTTTTGATGTTGGTCTTTGGTCACACCTTCATGGACAATTAGGGAAAAAATTTTCACCATTTTCGTCACCCATTTTGCCATTTGCGCCATAAAACATCTTTTTGATTGCCTTTGCTACTTAATTTTACTTTTAATATTAACTGAAAAAAGCTTTTAGTGAGAAAAAAGTACTCCAATGTAACAAGATGGCACGCGACAAAATGGGTGACATTCCTTTTCCGCTTGTTGCCCATGAAGGTGTGACCAACGATCGACATCAAAAAGAAATTAGCTTAAAACTTTTCCGAATAGAACTAGTGAGCTGTAAATCTGGCTTATAATGTAAAAATATGTGGAGAATCTGAAAATCAACTTACCGTAAATACTGTAATAGTCCCCACCTCCATAATGACGGTGCGGAGTCTTGCGTAGTCTAGCTTTGAACGAGTTTTTCTCGACACTGGTTTATGCTACAATGTGCGCTTAGGTATCAAAAAATAGCCCTGAATTTCAGCTATTTTTTGATACCAAAGACGCATTTTTTGAAAGTACGGGCGCTTTGAAAAAAATGAAATACTAAAAAACTTTTGCGACTACGCGACTGTACGAGGGGGTGGGGTACTATTACAGTATTTACGGTAGTTTAAAGTTTACAATATTTACCAACAAAAAAAATTGTTTCATAAGGTATCCGAGCTTCTCAGCCACCCAGTAGAAATTTTATAAAAAACCAGTCTAGAAATCACAAGCCTTTCGAAAATAAAATAGCTAAATTGATTTCAAAATTTCACCATCCATTAGCAAATGTCACATTTCAATTTCGATTCAATTCAATTCGTATTTCGCAAAAACTTTGATTCTGTAGTCGAATGTGATGTTTGTGGCTTTTTCTTTTGTTTCCACTAACACCAATTCATAAAAACAATTGATCGAATCACTAATCATCTGTCGATAACAAAACTTTTTCAATATTTTTTCATAAAACCTGGCATTGTAGAAAAAGTGAATATCTTTCCCGTAATATTTCTGAAATTCAAGTTTTGCATTCAAGATTTCACGAATCTCTTCAAAATTCTCAGTCTTTTCTTTTGCTTCGGGCCTTTCAAGGCAAAGAGTGAAATTGGGATTTTTCGACGAAAGTCCATTGTCAATGATTTCGTGAAGTTTTTGCGTTGAGTAATGATAATCGCCTATATTGCAGAGAATCAATTTGTTTAATCTCTCGAGTTTTACAAAAGCTTTCATGTCAAGTGGACAGGTTTCGATCACTCTCACTTGTTCACAGGAAATCGGATGCTTGTGCAAGAATTTTGAATAAATTTCCATTTTAGTCGCATCACAACAAACAAATGAGGCAGATTTAGTGACTTGAAAATGGAGATCTTCAAGGAGCTCCCAAAAACAGAATAAATCATCAGGGTCGATCTGGAGTTCGTCGACAATTCTTAGAGTTTGAAAAATTTCAATCAATTGCTCAAAGTTCTGTTTTGTTGAATCCTCACTTCTTCCATAAATTCGATGTGTTTCCCATGAAAGTTTTTTGCAATGAACAAGCTTTTGAAAAGTTTTCACAAGTAGAGAAATGCTGCTAGTGAATTCAAAGCCTGTAGATTTATCAGCAACTTTCAATCGCACATATTTCGTTAATATTTGACGCTTTTCTCTGTGTGCAAAAAAAGTGATTGTCATGTCTTCGACAGATTTTCCGAAAATTCCATCATTTAGAATATAAGATCGAAAAGATTTGTTGACTTTGAGTAGATTAATGAGTGAAATTGGTTGTAGATTCTTCAAGACTGTGTTTTTGAGTCCAAAAGGAAGCTGGTTTATTGGGAAAGTTGATTGATCAGTTGAGTTTTTCTGGCCCGTTTTTTGAAATATTGATTTCAGAAATACTTGCAGTAGCAAAATGGTGCTAAAGGTTTCTCAATATGGAGAAAGGGGAAGGAAAAACGTTTCAGCCAGAGATAAGAACCCATTTGTCTTCAATCAATCAATTGGAATGACTGTGTGCTGTTTTGTGTTGCATTGTGTGTTTAGGTTATCGGTTTCAATCAGAAGTTCGCAGAACAGTGAGCGTTTTGAATTTACCTATTATCTATTAGGTTGGCCGGAAAGTTCTTTCCGTTTTTTGACGCTAGATCTAACTTTTTATTTTATGCATCAAAAACGCCAAATAAAAAAACAGAATTTATCTCTCGAAATATTCACCGTCAACATCAATAACATCCTGCCACTTATCCGGCAACAAATAGATCCCGCGGCGGTAAAACGCACGTGGCTTCGAATCGAAAAACTGAGTGAGTGACAAGCGCCTTTCCTCGACGTTTTGAAAGATCTTTCCACGCAAATGATGCTCCAGAGACCTGAAAAAAATGATAATCGGATGATTCTGGACAAAATACCTGAACAGATGATAGTCCGATGGTGCCATGTCGGGGCTGTACGGCGGGTGATCCAAATGTTCCCATCCAAACTCGTTCAATTTGCTTGTTGTCAAGCTTGCGTTGTCATGAAGCAAAATGACTGGTCCTTGACGGTTGCGCATCTTCCGGCGAAGTCGATCCAATATTAGGTTGGCCGGAAAGTTCTTTCCGGCCAACAAGCAAATTGAACGAGTTTGGATGGGAACATTTGGATCACCCGCCGTACAGCCCCGACATGGCACCATCGGACTATCATCTGTTCAGGTATTTTGTCCAGAATCATCGATTATATTTTTTCGGTCTCTGGAGCATCATTTGCGTGGAAAGATCTTTCAAAACGTCGAGGAAATGCGCTTGTCACTCACTCAGTTTTTCGATTCGAAGCCATCTAAGAGTCATTGTTTGCTAGAGTGTGTCCTTTTCTATTAAAAATAAGTTTATGTATTTTTTTTTTTTTTTTTTTTTTTTTTTTAAAAAAATAAAAAATAAAAAAATAATTTTTTTTTTTAAAATTTATTTTTTTTTTTTTTTTTTTTTTTTAAAAATTTTTTTTTTTTTTTTATTATTAAATAAAATAAATAAAATAATTTTTAGTAAAAAATATAAAAAAAATTTATAAAAAATTTATTAAATAATATTTTTTTAAAAAATGGGGAAAAAAAAAATTTTTTAAAAATATAAATTTTTTTTTAAAAAGGAATTATTTTTTTTTTATAAGAGGAGAGAGGGGATAAAAGATGGGTGGACAAAAAAGAAAAAAAAAAAAAAAAAAAAAAAAAAAAAAAGAACAAAAAAAAAAATAAAAAAAATATAAAAAAAAAAAAGGAGGAAAAAAAAAAGAAAAAAGAATGAAAAAAAAAGAAAAAGAAAGTAAGAAAAAGAGGAAGGGAAGGGAAGGGAAAGAGGAAGGAGGGGAAGAGGAAAGAAAAAAAATTTTGTCCTACTGTAGCCGTGCATTTCGGCTATATAAGGCGGCCTTTTTCTTCATTTGTGACCTTTTTTTATTGATTTACCACCAAAGTGAGTATTATTTGTATCGATAAAATTGTTGTTTTGATCACATTTAATACACATAAGGTATCAAACACGCGCAAGTTTAAAGATTAGATCTTTTGCAACTTTTGTGTTTTAAAAAAAGCCAAAGACAAATATTTTTCTTTCTTGTACAATACTTAGATATTTTGTTGTTTAATTGGTGAGATAGAAAGGCTTAAATAAAACGAATGTTTGCGATGTTTAGGTGATCGACTTGCCTGTAACTGGCAAACATTGATCGTATCTCATTTTCAATACTTTATTGTGGATTTGATGTTAATTTTTATTTCTTTATGATTCATTGAAAGCGATGTTTAAACTTCCCATTCGACTACAACCAAAATTAGCTGCAAATTTGTGACCGTGTGGGCGAATTTGTGAACTCAAAAACACCTGCGCAAATGCGAGAAGCGAAATCAGATCTAATTTCATTTCTTTACACCAAAAATGCTTGAAGATCCGACAGTGGATTTTATCTACGACATCTTATGCGCAACAACGCCATTAGCCTCTATTTTCTGGATGTATTTGATCATTTTCCAATCACCGGCCGAGATGCGCCACTTTAAGTGGTTGTTGTTGAAGTTGGCGGTGAGTTTAAGACTATTGCAAGGATTTATTAAAGAGAATTTGCCTCTAAGCTAAAACTTTTTAGATTACAGAAGAGATTTTCGTTTGTTCTCTCACAACTCTGTTAAAACCTGATCTGTTGTTCCCAGCAGAAGGAGGAGCAATGCGAGGAATCGCTGCAAGATGGGGTGGACAACTTGGCGTGAATATCGCTGTTAGTTTTAGCGTCAGTCTAATGAACTTAGACATTTTCAAGACTAAAGACAGAGCAGGAAGAGCAGCAAATCTTGCATTATTCTGAGGATCTCGTATTGATCATGTTATCACCAATTGTTCTTATTTAATCTAGAATTCAGGCAGCGATCGGATTTGCCTCTGGAGGTGGAGCGATGCTTGGAGTGAGTGATTGTGCACATATGAGAGCTCTAATGATCTACCAAAGAGATGATCTCGTCGAAAAGCTTTTCAAGAAAGGATACGTTCTGATTTATGTCTTCATTTTTCACATCTCTTTAACATATATTCTCATGTTTTACCTGGTATTTTGGGCAGCTGAAGACTCACAGGTAACATTGAGTTGTTAGATGAAATTTTAACCCCTTTCAGACATTTGTTGCTCGTATGGATAGTTTTGGTTATCATACCTATATTGCTTTCTATGTCGAGCAAAACGTTACATTTTTTAGCTTCGATACTAGCAAGACTTCAACCTATGTTTTAGTTGGAGTGAGTTGCTTTGTGAGTCTTAAGAATGGCTTTACTCACTTCAAAATACACACCGAATGTGCTATCCAAGAACCAAGTTTAGTACAGCATTGGTGGCCTAATGACGGTGTATCTCGAAAACATGACATCCGTTTATTTCATGATGAGAAAACTTCGCCAGTTGCGAACGATCATGTCTAAAGTGACCTGGCGAAATCATGTCGGTGTGGTGCGAATGATTTGGACACAGGTCACAATTTTTGATCTAATAAAACGGAATAACTTTTCAGAGCACCTATCCTCTCTTGATGTGGCTGATACCAATTTGGGTTGTTATGGCATCAATGATGCTTAGATGGCCTGAAATAGTGGCGAACTCAATCTTCAAACATTATTTTTGCTTATCAATCATGTACTACCCGGTAAGAGTGAGCAGGGCTGTTCCAATCGGGGTCTAGATCAAGGCAAGGCAAGGCCAAGCAAGGCAAGACCAAGAAAGACAAGACTAACAAGGAAATGGTCAGAAGTGACCGTGAGATTTCGGCACCAAAATGAGGACCAAAATGCAAATACCGATCGAACACGACGAGTACGATGATGGTTTCGGATTTTGCTAAGGCTTAGGCTTAGGCTTGCTACGGCTAGTTTTCGAGAAAAATGGCTTTGAAATTTTGGCGCCTACTCGAAAACGAGGTACACTTCTTTAAAACGACTTCTTAGGAAATGTGTCCTCGTGGTCAGCGGGGAGAGTTCTCGCCTCCCATTTTCGCAACTCTGGCTCGGTCCTAGCTAGCACCTTTTTTCCAAACTTTTTAGGTTTATATATCCCAAGGCTTCTAAAACTTTTAAACTTTAATTTTTTCAACCATTGTTCAACAATTTTATCCATAAATCCAGAAGCCAACACAACAAACCAACCAGAAATATCAATCAACGAAAATGTAATTCCTTTCAAAATGATCAAAGCACAGTGATCGTATGAGAAGTGTAAGCACGAATGACCAGATTGGTTATAATGTTTTCAAGGGTAATTATATAGTTTGTAATTAGTTTACCTGATTGACTATGCTTTGATCATTTTCTAACATTTTCTAACCCTCTTTGCCCTAGTCTTGATTGTCACAACCCTGACAGTGAGTAGGGTAATTCGAAATTTACACAGAAATTTAGACTTTAAGCTTTATTCTATCGGTTGTTTGTCTCCGCCCATATCGAGTTTTCATTTTGGAGAAAATTTTCCGGCGAAAAGTCTCTCCAGAGCCGACTGTCGAGCACTCTGTTGAATCACACCCAAGCGTCCAACCACAAAGAGTGAATTTGAATGAGGCAGATATCTCGGAGTATATTGCGCCATGACTTGTTTTTTTTCTATTTGAATCACAATAAAAATTTGATAGACAAAAACTGAAAACAACAAATCAACAAATTTGATATCCAAATCATATAAATTTAAAATTCTAGATGATTACATAATGCCCGTCTTCGTTTGGCTCAGCCAAAACCCAGTGATCCAAAGGGAAAAGATCATCAAAACAGGATACACCCGGCTCCAAACAACCCGATTGAGCAGACCAACCACTAAATTATTCAATTTATGGAACATTTTGATTCAGGAAAGCTTTGAAACTCACGTATTCCTGCATCTCTCCACCGCGTCATGCGCTAGAGCACCACGATATTCAGGAGTTTCACCGTGGAAGATCTCTCGTACAATGGCTCCGATTTCTTTTAGGGTATTGTCAATTTTGTTCTGGAATAGTTAATTAGAGTATGAACTCTCCATATGAGCTTACTGGTTCAAAAAACTGAACATCAGGATACAATTTGCTTGATTCGTTAATGTCCTCTCCGGAGATCGAAATCGTATCGACCGTGCAAGTGTAGAGCTTCTTCTTTTGGGGCCTAGATTCAACTCAAAAGTTCAGCTTATATATACAAAAGTAAATCAAAACTACTGATTGAACAACTTTATAGACTGATACAATGCTTACAAGAGAATGTTCTCAGCTAAAAGTTCGGAATCGACTGGAAACACAGTGCATAACATAGAATCGGAAATGGCAAACAAAATGCCGCAAAAATTAGCCTAATAGCCTAATAGCCTAATACTAATAGCCACGGAAATGCAAGGAATCAGGCAGACAAAATCGGGATCCCAAAAATGATTCCTTTATAAGGCTTCTCTTTCTGCCGTATAGAGATGAGCTCGTGGCCTAGTGGATAAAGGCCTAGCCTGTGAAACGGCCGACCTATTTTTGCTCTTGGGTTTAATTCCGCCCATTTTGCATGCCACTCATTGCCACTACTGACCTCATAAGCCGTTTTCCCCAAAAAGTATTCATTCGGGTAATGAACCCAGTTCGCTTTGACAGCTTTCGTCAGAAAAATTGTCTAAAAATACAGTAAATAAACAATCCAAGACTTTTTGTAACCTTTGGAAATCGCCAATTATCAAAAGTGATTGGATTTCTGAATGAATCAAATGTGAGAAAATTCTCATAAATGAACGGATTTTCAACGATTCTCGGTCGAAATGTTAATCCAACGTGCGAGAATTTGAGAGCACCTATAAAAATTGAAAACAATCTGAAAACAAAAGAGAAATGTAATTGTAATTGAAATTTACCAAAATCGCTCTTCTCTGCAAGCCATTTTTCCAGGTAATCAAAGTAATTGTAGGAGCGGTTTCTGAACTCATATCTTTTTTGATTTGGACGAAATCAATGCTTATTTTGAAAAGATCTGAACCAGAAAACTTCTTCAAGGAAAATATTCACCTGATGTATATAAAATCATCAACATCTCCGAGAAAAGTGTACTTGCTCTTTGACCAAAAGATGCAATGTTGAAACTCAAGATTGTCGCTAACGTAGAACGTTTTGAAGTTTGGATCGTACTAAAATTTTAGTTCTAGTTGATTATTTAAAGTTTACCATAGGTGAAAATGGCAAAATAGGCCAATTGTGGGTTTCAATAATGCCCTAAAATTGCTAAATGAGAAATTGTTTAATTGGTAAACCTTATCAACATAATAATCGATCACTTGTTGAACGGATTTCGAAACAGACTGCACGGAGACTAGAAATCTAAAATTTTTCTGATAAAGTAAGATTTGAAGCTGAGAAAGATTAAAACGTGATAAAAGCTGTTAATCAAAAGCTTACGTATGAGTTCCTTGTCTCCTCCAGAGTTCGATGAATGCTATCAAACGAGGCCAATCGTTAAACCTAAATGAACAGCTTTAAGCTTCTCAAAAAGTTACATGGCTTCAGATTTAGATTAAGCTTTTTTAATTTGTTTAAAGGGGTACTCCGGCGTAAGGAAAGTCAGTGTTAAATTGGGCACCTGTTTTTCAAGTCTTCTCAAGTCTGCCGGCAGACGTTCTGACGGGGTTTGCCGGCCTAAGTCGATTTTCATCTTTTTTTAAAATTATTCTTTTAGAATGTAATGTTTTCTATTTAAAAAATATTTAAGATTGCTGCTAAATTTGGGAAAATACATGCAAAAAGAAAAGAACGCAGGTGCTAAAATGCAATCGGACATAACCTTTATATACTTTCCGCCCAAATATCGACGTTTTAGGGTGGAACGGAAAGCAAAAATCGCGTTTTTCTTCATTTCTTGATTGGAAGCATAAGAAATAATTGTAAGCATCGGATTATATATTGGGTTGGTGAATTGAAAACTGCGGGACTTTGAACTAAAATTTATTCAACATAAAACCATCAATTCATTCCAAATAATTTCCATTATTATTGACGACTTCTGCCCATTTTACAGGCAATTCGCGGATTCCCTTTCGTAGTAGGATTTTGGTTTGTGTGTGAGACAAGTGTGAGACTCAAAAAGGGAGGACTGGAGATGTCCCAGTTTGAGCGCGACCTTCAAAAGAAACCCATTTTGGTGTCAATAGAAAAGTTGTAGAGAATCAAAAATTAGGCTTATAGTCAAATTTCCAAAAAGATGCACTTGGTAGTTTCGCTTAAAATGCTAGTTTTGTGAAAATTCGTAAATTTGGCATTTCTTGAAAACCAGTTTTTGAATCGTTCTGAAAAGTTGGATATAAGCTTAATTTTTGATTCTCTACAACTTTTCCATTGACACCAAAATGGGTTTCTTTTGAAGAAAGTCCTCAAACTGTCACATATGAGAATAGCCCGCAGTTTTCAATTCATCAACCCAATATAAATGACCGCGATTCTTGAAAGTCAACCTTTAGGTCGGAGTATTCCTTTAAACTAATATTAAGTTGAGTACTAAATCTTTCACCGAAATTCATTTTCCAATTGGATAAGTCACAAGCTATTAAATGAAATACGGGTTTTTTTCATTAGATTCATTCATTTTTATCAGATAGCCCAATCATTTCTCTTGCAAATGACTTTTGTCAGTTTCTGAAAGCTTTGTTTTGAAGGAATCATTTGGTATTTGGTTGTTTAAGACTCGTTCATTTAGATAGTGAAATGAGGAGTGCACGACTTAGTACTCAACCAAATAGTAGGTTTAATTAAGCTTTTACTACCAATGCAATGGTCCAATGCAAGCCGATAAACTGTCCGTATATTCACTGGGTGCCACATGAAGTTTAACTTCAGTTGACACTCCATCGTGTGTCACAGTGATCTGTAATCCCATTTTTACCATTTGATTGATAAACAACCTTTTCTGGAATCTCTCCGCGATAAACCTTTGATCCAATGTCATAATGCCAATACTGGCAGCCTTTGCCTGGTTCTGGACATGTAACTAAAGTTTAGATATTTCCCGCTGATTGCGAGAAGATAAGAAAAGTTTAGACATTTTGATCTAGTCCTCCACTCACATTTTGCATTCTCAGTGCACATTTTCCATTCAACACCGATCTCTTTACCAAAAATCGATATTGAATAATCCCCCGAGATTCCATCGCAAGTAGCGGTTACCAGTAAACGAATCCTTGGCCCAGCTGGATCTCTTAAAAAATTATTAGCAAAGTAAATGGGTAACTGGGAAGTTTTAAGCCAAATCAACTTACCTCAAGTC